TATATATATATATATATATATATATAGAGAGAGGGACGCACTCAGGTGCGAATAAGTGCCCATTAAGGAAATGCGAACGAATCAGCGCGCGACACGTGTCCAGATCTAATAACTTAAAAAAAACGCGGTGACATTTTCGTAAATAATTGAACATCGAATTGTAAGTAAAATATCTTATAAGTGCACCTATTTTCACCTATAAGTGCATGTAATTCTGCCTTGTTAGCATTCACTTTCCGCAACCATTCATGCACCTGGGTGTGCTTATAACTATATGTGCAACTATTTATAACTATAAGTGCAACTACTTATAACTATAGGTGCACCTACTTTCACCTATAAGTGCATGTAATTTTGCCTTGTTAACATTCATTGATCTGAGTTCAGCGGGTAGTAATACTCCTGAAAACCACTCGCAAACATTCATACACCTAGATGCAACTACTTATACCTATGTGTGCAACTACTTAGAACTATAGGTGCAACTACTTAGAACTATAAGTGCAACTAAGTATTGATGCTCAGTGTAAATTTTTACTTGCACCTATAATACATTTTACATGCACTTGTAATACATTTTACTTGCACTTCGATGTTCAATTATTTACGAAAATGTCACCGCGTTTTTTAAAAAAATGAGTGTTTCTCATCCATTAGATCTGGACACGTGGACGAACAGAATTCATTCCTATTTCGCGCCTGGGCGAGCCGTTCGCACCCGAGTGCAACTCTCTCTCTCTCTCTCTCTCTCTCTCTCTCTATATATATATATATATATATATATATATATATATATATATATATATATATATAAAAGAGGTATACTAGGTTATAAAATATACAACATCACTTCTATTTGTATAATTATTGTTAGGAACATAAGTCTAATTAACATGGGACTTAGTTAAAATAAGGAATCATTTGATCACAATCTTCAGGTGTGCAAAATAAGGTATCAAAAGTTTTTTATTTCCCTTACTAAGCAACAATGATGATCAAATCAGAACTTTTAAAGTACAAGAGATGTCAAATTTCTCTGATTACTTTTTTGATAAATTTACCAAACAAAAGAGTAACTTGATATTTTTAGTTTGCATGTAAAAATTCTCTCATAAAGTCTATAGTTATTTTGTCAGTAATCATTGTACTGGCAATTGATTGAAGTTCTATTACGGAGTATATATTTAGGGATCGATGGAAATATGTTAGGCCAGGCCAAGCTTTGAAAACTTACGCAAATTATGTTGTGCAACCGTGTGCACCATTTATAGTGCACACGGTTGCAAAAACGACGTCGTTTTGATTAAAAATGCGCATCGCACTTTAAGAAAAAATAGGTTCGATTCCTGGCAATAGCATTTTTTTGTGCATAATTTAAATTATATATCCACAAATTCATAACTATATATCCACAGTGAATGAATAACACAAAATTCAGAATGAATGAACTAAATATCCACAATGAATGAACTAAATATCCACAATTAATGAACTAAATATTCACAATGAATGAACTAAATATCCACAATGAATGAACAACATAATGCTGTTGAGGGGAATCGAAACTGAATTTTTTTTTAAATGGGACGCGCGTTTTTAGTCAAAACGACGTCGTTTTGCAACCGTGTACACCATGCATGGTACACACAGTTGCACAGCATAACTATTGGAAAACTTAGGCATGTGCCTGCTACGAAAACTTAGGTCTAAGTCTGTGTGTAGGCTTTTTTAGGCTCAAACCTAAGCCTACAATAGGTTTGATCTGGGCTTAAACTTTTTTAAAGACATGTTTAATATGTAGGTCATTAAATATCCAGCAATTTATATCGTGGACTAGGGTCCACAATGCACTATGGATCCTGTTCCAATATACAAACTTTGACTTCATAATATATAGAATTTATGTTGATAATACACATACACATAAACACGATACAATAAAGACACATAAACACTTAACATAATACACAAAATTCATATTCATAATGTACAGTCATGTTCATAATGCACAGAATTCATGTTCATTATATCATGTTTATGTGTATGTGTATTATGAACATAAATTCTATACATTATGAACATGAATTTTATACATTATAAAATCAAATTATGTGTATTAGACCAGGGTCCACAATGCACTGTGGATCCTGGTCCACGATATAACGATTGTAAATATACTCTATTGTAATCTTTATATAAGGATCTTCACATTATCCACTTTATAAAACTTACATATTTGGACCAAAAAAATTAAATCTAATATAATAACAATAATAGGTGAACAATTGCAGTCGTAAAACACAACAATTTTGAAGGTAGTGGCAAAAACAAGCATCATATCCTTAACCTCAATCGATTTTTTTAAAAAAATAAAATTAAAAACTAAGATAAAATCTCAAGACCAACTGTACTATTAATCAATCAAATATTTCACTCCACCACCTTCATTATTACTATATATATGCAAGGATGAGTATGCTACTCCGCTATGACAAGGTGTTTGGTTGGATGGAGGGAATTAGGTGAGAAAAGAATTACAATTCCATAGGAAATGAATAATGTGGAAATAAAGTGATAATTTAAATTTCAGTGTTTGGTTTGCATGAATATAATTACTGAAAATTTCAATTTCAATGTTAGATATACCTGAGAATTGAAAGTGAATAAGTAGTATAAAGTCCAAAATACTCATATTTAATAATATAAATATATATATATATATATATATATATATATATATATATATATATATATATATATATATATATAGTTAGTTAGTTAGTTTCATTTTATAAATATGAATATATATAATAAATAAACGTGAAATATATACTAATTTTATATATACGAGTATATATATTAAATTAAATAACAATAATTTATACCAGGACTATGTGGTCTAATGGTATCCGGGTTGGACTTCCATTTGGAAGGTTGTAAGTTCAAGCCTCAGTGGAGCTCTTTGTGTTTCAGAAAAAAAAATAACAATAATTTAAAGTATTCATAAATTAAAATATCATTATAACCGATCAAGAAATTTATTAAATTAATAAATATAATATTCCTTCGCCGGAGAAACCAAAATTGTAAAAAAAAAAAAGTTTGCATTTCTCGAGAAACGCAAGTGAGATTTACGTTTCTCGAAAAATGTAAATCTCACTTGCGTTTTAATTTTGACCGGAAATATGGTAAAACGCATTTCCTGAATGTGTTTTTCATATTTTCATCCAATTTTTTTGTCATATTTTGACGAATTGCATATTTCATCTTCACATTTCTGTCATTTTCCCACAATCTTATGATGTCCCAATCCTTCTAAGAACATATTTTGATTTTTCATTCCTTCCGAGATTTCTTATAATTTCCTAATTCTTCCTAGAACTTTTTCCTATTCCTCAATCATTTCGGGAACTTGTACTGATTCTCCAATCCTTCTTGGAACTTCTTCCAATTCTTAAATTTAAAATTTATCAGAATTATTTATCAACATTCTTAATCAACAGATAATAAAATTTCAAGTAAAAAATAATAAATATTTGAGAAAAGGGTCAAATAGGCCCCTAAACTTTATTCCAAAGATCAATTAGCCCCCTAAACTTTACAAGAGTGCAATTAAATCCTCAAACATGTCAAATTAGATCAATGAAGCCCAAAAACCGATAAATGACCTGTTATTACATGTCATTTCAATTCCGGCGACCGGCGAAAAAAACCGATCACCGGCGACAAAATATGGGCGTCTGGTCGTCTTCCACTAGAGAAGACGACTGGACGGCCGCCTTCTCCATTGGAGAAGAACAGCCGTCTGGTCGTCTTCTCCATTGGAGAAGGCGGCCGTCTGGTCGTCTTCTCCGGAAGACGACCAGACGGTCGGATTTTGTCGCCGGTGACCGGATTTTTACATTAGTGGCTGGAATTATTCACTGGTGGTCGGAATCTGTCGCCGGAATTGAAATGACCTGTAATAACAGGTCATTTATCAATTTTTAGATTTCATTGACCCAATTTGACATGTTTGAAGGTTTAATTGCACTTTTGTAAAATTTAGGAAGCTAATTGACTTTTGAGGTAAAATTTAGGAACCTATTTAACCATTTTCTCTAAATATTTTCAACTCAACAACACCAAAATATTATTTATACTTTCAATAAATATATCAAAACTAATTTATTCAATCATTTACTATATACCTATCCAACAATTATTGCTTATTTATTAAAATTAAAAAAAAAAATGTCACGATGTTCTAAAACATTGTGGAAATTCACGTACACATAATATTTCGTATGATGTATTTATTAGATGAGTTAATTATTGATTAGTCTTGATTAGGGTGACATTTTTACGACTTAGTCATCCATATAAATTCTTTCTCTCCCTTCAAAGTTAATGCTAGTGAAGACATTCAGTATCAAACTCTTCATTGAATTTAGACAAGGCGACGAGAATGGCGAAGCGACTCTTCTCTCCTCGTCTTCCTCCGCAGCAAAGCGCAGCAGTTCTGGCGAGAATGCGACGGCGGAGGAGCAGAGGAGGGGTGGACCGGTGGTTGTCATTGCCTGAGCCGGAGCTGCTCTTCCACCTAGAAGTGTCGCCGGTAAGGGACGCTTTTAATTTCTATTTAAAAAAAAAAAGGATTATTTGAAATTTTAAGTAGTCGGAGTCGGCGGGGGAGCGGCGGGAAGTTTGGAGGGAATCCTACCAACGGTACAGTATGATTCATTCATTCATATTTCATACCAACGGTAACAATTTCCTAATTCTGATTTCTGAGGAATTTGGAAAATCCCTCCCTACATATATTAATCTTCATACCAACGACAACTCAACTCAACTCAATTTCCTAATTCCTACATTTACGCACTCAGACACACATATACTTAATCTTCATTCATTACCTTGCTCTGCTGTGGTGTGGTGTTTATTTTCATCATATCATGGTTTGTCTTAAAGACTTTGCTCACATTACCTTTCCTGGGGGTTCTTGCAGATTTGATTATTTACTTGAGGTGTGTAAGCAAGAGAGATTGCTACTTCACAAAGAGGAACAGAAGGATAAGCAAGAAAAGAAAGGGTGCTACAATGGTGATGATGATCAATACTATTTAGGTGGGGTTGATCTCAATGAGAGTTTGATCATTCCTTCAAACCACACTGATAAGGAGGAATGGAGGAAAAGCAACACCCCAGAGTCTATTATTTCACATTCCAGTGGCAGTGACAGCAGAGCTTCATACCAAAGGTAACTCAACATTTGCTATATCCCAATTTTGATTTGTGATGGGATTTGGAAACAAATTTAGTATATATGTATTTTGTATATGATTCATCCCTACATATAGGCAGACACACAACTAATCAATCTTCATTCATTCTTAACTAGACTTTCTTTAGATTTTCTTCTGTTCTGAACTCAGTGTCTTTATCTGCTATATATTCAGTTTTCAATACATACCTTGTTGTGTGGTGTTTATTTTCATCATGGTTCTGTCTGTAGTTTTTCTTCTGTTATGAACTCAGTTTCTTTTGTCTGCTACATATTCAGTTTTTAATAGATACCTTGTTGTGTGGTGTTTATTTCTATCATGGTTCAGTCTGTAGTTTTTCTTCTGTTATGAAGTCAGTTTCTTTTATCTGCTATATATTCAGTTGTCAATACATACCTTGTTGTGTGGTGTTTATTTTCATCATGGTTCTGTCTGTAGTTTTTCTTCTGTTTTGAACTCAGTTTCTCTTATCTCTATATATTCAGTTTTTAATACATATTACATACCTTGTTGTGTGGTGTTTATTTCCATCATGGTCCAGTCTGTAATTTTTCTTCTGTTCTGAACTCAGTTTCTTTTATCTGCTATATATTCAGTTTTTAATACATACCTTGTTGTGTGGTGTTTATTTTCATCATGGTTCATCTTAAAGACTTTGCTGACATTACCCTTCCCGCGGGTTCTTGCAGATTTGATTATCTACTTGCGGTGTGTAAGAAGGAGAGATTACTACTTAAGAAAGAGGAACAAGAGGATAAGCAAGAAAAGAAAGGATGCTACAATGATGATGATGATCAGTTCTGTGGGTTTGATGTCAATAAGAGTTTGATCACTCCTTCAAACTATACAGTGCCTTATAAGGAGGAATGGAGGAAAAGCAACACCCCAGAGTTTGTTAGTTCACATTCCAGTGGCAGTGGTGACAGCAGAGCTTCATACCAACGGTAACTCAACATTTGCTATATCCCAATTTTGATTTCTGACGGGATTTGGAAACAAATTTAGTATATATGTATTATGTGTATGATCCATCCCTACATATAGGCAGACACACATATACTCAATATTCATTCATTCTTAACTAGAGTTTCTTTAGATTTTCCTCTGTTCTGAACTCACTTTCTTTATCTGCTATATATTCAGTTTTCAATACATACACTTAGTCTTCATTCATTCTTAACTAGAGTTTCTTTAGAATTTCTTCTGTTCTGAACTCAGTTTCTTTATCTGCTATATATTCAGTTTTCAATACATACACTTAGTCTTCATTCATTCTTAGCTAGAGTTTCTTTAGTTTTTTTCTGTCCTGGACTCAGTTTCTTTATCTGCTATATTCAGTTTTTAATACATACCTTGTTGTGTGGTGTTTATTTTCATCATGGTTTGTCTTAAAGACTTTGCTGACATTACCCTTCCTGTGGCTTCTTGCAGATTTGATTATCTACTTGCGGTGTGTAAGCAAGAGAGATTACTACTTGAGAAAGAGAAACAGGAGGATAAGCAAGAAAAGAAAGCATGCTACAATGATGATGATGATGATCATTACTGTGGGGTCGATCTCAATAAGAGTTTGATCATTCCTTCAAACCATACAGTGCCTGATAAGGAGGAATGGAGGAAAAAATTGATGGGATCATTTTATGGCTTATCTTGGCAGAATGTTTTGAATTCTGTGGTGCAAAGTGCAGCACGAAGAAAGACACTAGAATCTGATATTTCACATTCCAGTGGCAGTGATGACAGCAAAGCTTCTTTAAAGAGGAGGTTAAAGTCTGATGAGGTTGCGGGAAATGCTGTGGCAGAGAGGATCAATTCCAAGAAGCGAAAGAGGGGAAGTGGGGTGCCCAACAACGGTCCAGAACCACCACCAGGACTACCGGTTGAATTTAGAAATTTTATTCTCCAAAGGGCTGGTAACCGGGCAGTATGTGTCGAGAAATTGGTGATTCAAAAGGAGCTTACAAAAACGGATGTAAACAGCACCCAGAATAGGCTGTCAATCCCAGCGAGGCTTGTGAGGGAGGAGTTCCTTACGGAAGAAGAGCATCTTCTACTTTGTCAGCGCAATGGGAAGAATGTATGTTCTATAGATGAAGTTCCGTTGATCACACCAATGATGGAAGTAGCAAAGGTGAGCTTGAGGAGGTGGGAGATGAAGAAGGAAAGGGGAGTTCCCAGTGTATCTTACGTCATAGCTAATACTTGGAATGAAATAAGAAGACGGAATAAATTTGAAAGCAAGATGATAGTTCAATTGTGGGCTATTCGGGTTGGCGTAGACTTGTGGATGGCTCTAGTTAGGCTTTCTTGATCTTTTAATCAACTTACCACTTCAATTTAGGAGATACAAATATGCTCTTTGTATATGCTTTTTTGTGTTTTTTGAAACTAATTCAAAGAGTTTTGAATTTTGTTATGAATGTCTATCAAATACTGTTCAGTTCATTTTGAATGAGAGTAGGGATTATTTTGCTATATAAATGCTCTTATCTGTGTTATGGAATTCATAATATCGGTGCAGCTTCTTCTTCTGGATGTCTTTATATTGTTCTTTATATTGAGTGTTCCTTGCATATTCTAAAGAATGATTTACTGGCTCAGGTCTGAGAGGACCTGCATCTTTATGAATAAGCTGGCCCTTTGAAGGGGAATGGGATGATACAGGAATCAGATATGTCTCTTAACTAAGTGAGAACATTAAGCTATCAAGGTTACCTTGCCACATAAATAGTGTGAATCAGAAAAAACTATGACTGCATATGCATTCTGGAGAAGAGGAATGCACAGAGCTTCTAGAGATATGGGCTATAGCTGACTACTATAAATACTCAACAATTGTAAGAGAGCACCGCTTGCAGTTTCATTACTGCTTTTCAATATTTCAGTGGGATTACTTGATACAATATCAATTTTTGCCATCTAAACTACAGAATTCAGAATTCGATCTTTTCCAGTGCTTTATTTTTCTGATAACATGAAAGCATATGTTTGCAATATGTCATCGTAAATCCTAATTTGTGTTTCACTTTTTATTTGAAAAAGTTGTACCTATTGGTCAATGTGGACCGTTTGGTCCACATCCAGAATCCACTCTTCCCTGCAAAAGTATACCCTAAAAAGCTCTAGAATGTGTACAATATTCTGTCTTTCCAAGGAGAAATCACTCTGTTTAAATAATGAGGTAAGTGATTTTGGAGATGAGGCATCCTTAAGATCTCTTGGTCATTATGGTCCATGTATGTGAGAGTACAGTACTTTTTACCAGCATGTGATTTTCACATGTTTATGAGTTATGACACAAAGGTTGCCCTAATTCAGTATGCAGGCTTACTGATCATGTTTTCTGTCATTGTGTAGTACTCCATACCATAGTTTATTATATAGAAGTTTATGTATTTCTACTAGCATAAATTTCTTATTGTTACAGGATGAAATTTTGTGCAAGGCTGTTCAACGATTTAAAGGAAAAAACTGGAAAAAGATAGGTATTCCCTTCACTTGCACATTGATAATATTCTTTGTCTTTACCTCTCTGTTAAGCCTACCACTGCCACAAAGCCTACATAAATGGCAGGAGTGTTCATTGCTAAGTGGATGGTGTGAAATTGGTTTCTTTTGTAGCTTGTGTTTTTGGGGATTCCTAGAGTTCTCTCATATTGTTAAACTAATGCCCATGAATAGAAATTGATTGTTGTTCCTTTGAAGTATATATCTGTTTTCAAAGGCATTAAACTTTTTGTTTTGGTTGCTCAAGAATAATTTTAAATTTTTAGAGCATAATATATATATATATGCAAATAGATAATACACATCATTACATTTTTGAGTTCTAGTGTAGCCATTGGCAGTTGAGTTGAATAATCTGATAGAAGTAAATTATGTTTGGACTCTTATTCCTTTTTTTCTTTTTTTTAAAAGGTGGCACAACCATCTTAATCCTTCAATAAACAAAGAACCTTGGACACAAGAAGAGGAATTAGCTCTCATTCGTGCTCATCAAATTTATGGAAACAAATGGGCAGAGTTGACGAAGTTTTTTGCCTGGAAGGTAGTATACTAGTATATAAGTTGAGCAAAGATCTTACTTTCCACTATTGATGTTTTCTTTTGTGGTTGCTTTATTTTGATCTTTCGTGTTTATTTATTTTCAGGACAGACAATGCAATTAAAATTACTGGAATAGCTCAGTGAAAAAGAAATTGTATTCATATTTGGCATCAGGTTTGCTTTCACAATTCCCATATTTGTAACCTTTTCAATTTTCTTTAAAGTTTACCTAACAAATATAATGTGCATATTAGATATTTATTGGGCAAAACATCAATAGGTAGAAGGTGTGTGATGTAAGAAAAAGCCTTTGCTTTAAGAATAAAAAGGACACAGATTGAAGGTGTGTGATGTAAGAAAAAGCGGGGAAAAGGTTTAGCCTCTCTTCATGTGTTTGAAGGATCCCTCTTACAGGAAAATAAAGTGTAGCAACTTTTTTGGGTGCATTCTTCTACATTTATGCTAGTGCTAGTCTTAATGATATTGCCGTAAGTTGACATTTTTATCAGGACTTGCCTTCAGAAGTTTTATATTACCATCTGTTGTTGAACAACTTCAAAAGTGGGTTCTTATGGCTGAGGCTATCATTGAACAGAATGAAAAGGAAAATGCAGCATTAAAAGAACAAATAAACCAATTTGAGTCACAATGGTTAGAATATGAAGCCAAGATGAGCTCAATGGAGGAGGGTTGGCCGAAGAAAATTTCATGGTGAGACAAAACTCTAAAGATTTTGCCCTGAAAGGATGACCGAGTAGGTGGAGCATAATTCTCGATTGTACCAGAAGGTTACGAGTTCGATTATTGATAACACCTTCTTGGTTAAGCCCATCACACAAAGTCTTCCTAATGTGGTTTATTTTTAAGATTTTTCTTACAATTTCTTTTGTCCTTGACAAACGAATCTAATTAGTAGAATTGATGTTCTTGTAGGGAGTTTCAGCAGTAAAAGCCTTCCATGAATTGCTCATTTAGTTGAATTATAAACATTTATGATCTAAGGAAGAATGTTGAAGGCTGTACTTTCTTAAAAACATCATATGAAATTATAGTAGTTATTCTATTATATTGTTAAATCTACTATTTTAGTTTTTATTCTTTTTATTTTTAAATTTTATTTTCTGTAATGACCTCTTTTTTTGTTTTTTTTTTTTTGTTTTTTTTTTTTTTAATCTTGTTAGCTAATCAGTAAAAATTGTCTTGTGGGATCACTTTAGTAATTTTTTAATGGACATTTATAGTGGTTATAAGGTTTTTTTTTTTAGGTTTACTATTTACTATGTTCACATTATATAAGTAATTCTCTTTTCAAAAAAAAAAAAAAGGTAATTCTCATTTCTCTAAAGGATGGTATACAGTATACACAATATATATTACATAATCTAATGATAAATGAATATCTCTATTACAATAACTCAAGCAAATTTATTGCAACAAATCAACAACCAGGTACAATGCATTAGTTTTCTAACTAAGTGTAATGTGGAGCGGTGCTCGGCTAAATTTATAATCAATTATTATGATTAAATAAATTTATTATAAATAATATAATATTATTAAGTAAATAATAATATTTTGATGTTTTCAAACATTTCTAATGTTTTAATTACCTTCTTGCCAAATTAATTGTCAATTATGTTTTTAATTAGTTTAGATTTTGTTAATTTTTAAAAATGTTTTTAAATTATTATTGATGGTGATAGGAAACCTAAAAATTATATTGCCCATACTAAATGTCCTATTGAGTACTATTTTATGATATGATGTAAAAGATCATTTAAAATGTCAAATTTTAGTTTCATGATAATACACAAAAGTGATAATAAGTAATATATTTTTGTTCAAAATTAAGTGTTAAATTAATAATTATTATTTTTATCTTTTTTTTTTTGAAAATAATAATTATTATTATTTTTATCTAATTCCAAGTACAACCAAAAACTATTGAGTTCTAAAGTTAAACCAATAATTTGAAGTAAGAAAATAAGAGAAAATAATGCTATATATATATATATATATATATATATATATATATATATATATATATATATATATATATATATATATTTTCAATTAATTAGTGGCATTATTATTATTATTATTATTATTATTATTATTATTATTATTATTATTATTATATATTTTATACTTTATCTATATATGTTGCAGCCATAAAGTTAATACCCCACTATCAAGGTTCAACCAAAGAGAGTTACAGAGGTGTCATCGATCTGAGCACAATGTGCTTAGCAATTAGTAACATGGTTGTTAACTACTGTACATTTTGAATTTTGAATTAATATTATATCAAAATTAATTATCAATAACAAAGTGACACATAAAGCTACACTATCAACCAATTAAAACAAGGATTTTAGGAACATTATGCAATAAAAATAAAAATAAAAATAATAACACAAGCATTATTATCAAGTAATTTCAACCCATAAAAATAGTTTTTAGAAACTCTTTTATTATAACTACAATATATATTGGAAATTATAACATATTTTTTTATACGCTTAATATAGAAAAATTGGAAACATATTACTTAATTAATATATTAAATACCTTTTTTAAAAAAAAAAAAATGTTTTGCTGATAAAAGGAAAAGAAAAAAAATATTGGATTATTGTAGTGGAAAATTATTGTGTGTACTATGGTCCAAAACGACATCGTTGAATTTTAATTTATGAATTAAAATAATAAAACTTCTAAGGTAAGATAGTGTACTTTATGAGTTTGAATAATGTACATTATTAATTATAAAAATGTATATTACAGTGGGTCGCGTGTAAAAAAAATTACACAAAATAACTATTGTATTGCAATCCCATGGGCCATGGCATACTGAATGCTTAATTAATAAGTGAATTGCTTCATTTTTTTTTTGAATATTATTGACTATATTATTAAGGTAGTATCTGTTCTATATTTTCTCTAACTACTGCAGTCTAAAAAGTCAATACTCCACCACCGGGGTTTGATCCTGCATGTGACCTTCCCTCAAAAGGAGCCACATAGGTGCTTGGCAGTGAATTGCTTCTTGGTTCAACCAAAATGTATGTTATTCTTTGAAGGCTTGGGTTCGTTTACCAACAGAAAACTATTCTCTGTTTTCTGTTTTCTAATTTTTCAGTTTTCATTCTCTATTTTCAATTCTCTGTTTTCTGTTTAGAAAACTTGTTTACTAACTGAAAACTGTTCTATATTTTCTATTTTCTAATTTTTCAATTTTCACCTAAAATTTAGTTTTGAGCTAATATTTAAAATATTTTTTTTGGATATATTCATTTGAATGACATGTATATGAATATATAACTTTTACTTTGAATTCTAATATATGCGAAATTTCAATAACTCCAATATGTAGACCGAACTTGTATTATGATGTAACATAATCAAAAA